GCCGGGGCAGGGGAGAGCCCACGGGGGGGGCGCAAGAGCTTTCTCCCGGACAGCGGGGAGGGTTCGGCCGTTGGTGGGAGAGGGTGGCCGGGCAGGAGCGAGGGGCCACTGCGGGCCTCGGGGGACGGGACGGGACGGGGCCAGCCTTCAGGGCCTGCTCAGGCACCATCTAGTCGGGGAAGGCAAGCCGAGTCGCCGAGCCAGGGGCTTGCCCAAGGCGGCCGGGCGGCATTTCGGCCAGTCCACCTGCCCAGGTGCAGAGGCCGCGGGCCACCCCTTCGTGCCCCTAGCTGTGGGTGGAAGCGGGGGCTCCAAACGAGCAGACCCGGGGTGGGCAGCACTGTGACTCCGAGTGTCCCCTGTCGGGGCTCCCCCGAGCAGTCCTGGCCAGGAAGTAGGGCCTAGCGCCGCTCACCAGGTTCCCAGGGCCCCACTCTCGCCGCAGCCTCACAGCCAGCGGCTCTTTGAAGAAGGCGTTATTGTCCAGGCCACTGTGAAAATGGGGAGCTGAAGTTTAGAGGGAGAATCCCATATTTAAGGTCACACGGTGAGATGGGCAGGGCTGACTGGGACCCAGGCTTCCCTACTGCCCGCTGTCCCCACTTGGGCAGGACAGGACAGGACGCCAAGGTGCTTTTGTCTGGACGGGAACTCAGCCCGAGGTTTGGTTCTGAGACCCGGGGAGTGCAGGGAGGGCTGGATGGCAAATGAGGCCTCTTCTCCAGGCCTCCGGCCGCCTCTGCCACTGCAGCTGCCTTAGGAAGGGAGGAGAATCCGGAGGTCGGACTTGTTTCCCAAGAGAGGAGAGGAGGGCACAAACTCTGGCAGGCCGCTGCCCTTCCCGGGTTGCCATCTTGCCTTTGACCCCTGCAGATCGTGAACGTGTGGTACTCCGTGAACGGCGAGAGGCTGGGCACCTATACGGGCCACACTGGAGCGGTGTGGTGTGTGGACGCCGACTGTATCCTTTCTCCCCGAGTCTGCGCTCCGCGGGCCCCACTGTGGGTTAGGCTCGGGCTGTGGAGGGTCCCCAGGGCAGTACTCCTTCCATCTCTTCGCTGGCTGGGGAGTATCCAGGACAAGTTCCAGGCCTGGACGAGGAGGTCAGATGCAGGGAAGAGGGAAGAGAGGAAGAAAGGCTCCTTGGGCTGAATAAAGAGGTGACTCGAGACCAACACGTAGCACGGTGGTTGGGTGCTAGACTCCCACAGGGCTGACTGGTTCAAGTCCTGGTGGCGTGCTTGCCCTCTCTCTCATCAAATTTAAAAATTGATTAATTTATTGGTTGCTTAAAGTAATTATTTATTTATTTATTATTTTTTAAGAGATTTTTGCCATAGAGCTGGTGTGCTTATCAGAGAGAGATACAGAAAGAGAAAAGGCAAGAAATCACTCCCCTAAAAAGATGGCCAGGCTGCAGCCCCTTCTCTCGGGATTTTGGGCATGTTCACACATATGCCTGGCGGAGTTTCAAGCCTCCAGGTCTGGGACTCGAACTGCACTTGGCCCTATGGAAGTCCAGTGCCTTAACCTAAAATAATTCTTTTTAAAAAGAAGAAGAAGGGATGATTTGGCTGGCCTCCCAAAAGGACAAGGTCTCAGATAAACTGTCATGTTTCTTAACACCCTCTCCAGGGGACACCAAACATGTCCTCACCGGCTCAGCTGACAACAGCTGTCGTCTCTGGGACTGTGAAACAGGTGAGCCCGGGCCGTTGACTCTTTAGCACACGTGGAGACCTGCAGTGCCCAGCTTATGCAGACGGGCTGTAGGCGAGAGGCTGTGTCCAGGTGGCTCCCAGTCTGGGGAAGGAGGTGGGGCAGTGAAGGAGGCCGACAGACAGTGAAGGAGGAAGACAGACGAGAAGCCCCCAGAAGCGTTGCTGAGAGCTGCTCCCTGCGAGGCGGGGGAGGGGGTCTAGCCCGCGGCTTCCCAGGCGAATGTCATGTGAGCTGGGGCTGAAAGGACGAGGGCGACGTCATCACTCTGGCGCTTGCAGGAGTAAAGCACGGCAGTGCCATATCCACGTCACCTGATCTGGCCGGAGCTCTCCCTTAGGGGTGAGATAGCCAGTCAGTGGGAAAGTAGGCCAGGGCCCCAGCGGACCTCGGCTGCCAGGCCGAGGAGTTTGGCACTGCGGTAGGACCTGGCGTTCTGGGACATCCCGGCTCGGGAGCAGGCTGTGGAGCAGGCAGCAGTGGCACGCGCTGGAAGAGCTGAGGCTGGAGACGGGAGCTCGATGAGCTGCTCTGCCCTGTTAGTGCCTCCCTTCTGTGCCAGGTCCATCCAGGCACTGGGCACATGCAGGGCTTCACAGTGCAGGGCACAGTCTGGGGGACATCTTGGCATAGCCCACTGTGAGCCGCGCTGGCACAGTGGCTCGGCGGGTCTGGGGAGAAGCTGAAAGACTTCGGCCAAAGGTGGTGAGGAAGGGAAGGTGGTGGCCGGAGTCACGAGTGGGAGACAGAGGCTGGTGACAGGCAGGTGTAGAGCATTTTTTTCACGGTGGCAGCGGGCAGTGGGGAGCCAGACTCTGCCTGTCCTCAGGGAAGCAGCTGGCCCTGCTCAAGACCAATTCGGCCGTCCGAACCTGCGGCTTCGACTTCGGGGGCAACATCATCATGTTCTCCACGGACAAGCAGATGGGCTACCAGTGTTTCGTGAGCTTCTTTGACCTGCGGGATCCGAGCCAGATCGGTGAGAGTGGGGCTGGGGCTGCGGCTGCTGCTGCGGCTGAGGTGAGGCGTGCAGCTCCAGGGCCTGACGTCTGCTCCCCACACAGACAGCAACGAGCCCTACATGAAGATCCCTTGCAATGACTCCAAGATCACCAGTGCCGTTTGGGGGCCCCTGGGGGAGTGTATCATTGCAGGCCACGAGAGTGGAGAGCTCAACCAGTATAGTGCCAAGGTAAGGGGCCGGGGCCGAGCCCAGCAGTGGTTCTGTACAGCAGGCGAGGAGGTGGCAGCGGTTAGAGCGAGGCACGGGGCTGGGGGCCGAGCCCAGCAGTGGTTCTGTACAGTAGGCAAGGTAAGGGGCCGGGCCCAAGCCCAGCAGTGGGTCTGTACAGCAGGCGGGG